GAAAAAGAATATACATATATATATATATATATTCTACGGTTTGTGTGGTTGTGCTAGTAACTAATCCATAGTCAAATCATAAATTAAATAAAATTTTTCTTTTCCTTCTGGTTTGGGACTACAATAAAGGAACTCCCATAAATTGTTTTAAAATTTTATTATTTTGACTACGATCATTCTTATGTTTTATTGTTGTAGAAAAATGAGGATATTACATATTTTATAATCATTGATAAACGATAAATGTTATAATATTATAGTTATTTCTCTTTTCTTAATTATTATAAAATATGCCGTGATTGCAAATTTGCGAACTCTCATTTTAATACTCAAGGAAACATTGTTCGTATCATAGGCATTGAAGACCTTGAGTTATAATACATGTGGACAGCAAAGAGCAAAGGCCTTAACTTTACAACTTGGATAGGAAAAACAAAGGCCAATCTCTTAAGAAATGTTTCAGTGATTAAAAATTGGAGTCTCTATTTTGGAGATTTTAAGTTCAAATCCTAGAATGGGGGAGGGATTTGAGATGCGGAGGATTACCCTATATTATATAGTCCATCATCCGATGTTCCAAAAAAAAAAAAAAAAACCAAAACCCTAAACATGGCCACCGTTATGGTCACACAAAATATTACAAATATGTTTGATTTGCCTAATTTTATCAGTGTATAGTTAGGGTGTTTGAAAACATTAGTTTATAGGGTGATTTCAAATGCTTAAGTAATAAATATTAGTTATTCTATTAGTTATTAATTAACAATTACAACTATTAATTGCTTCTAATAGTCAAACCAAACACACCTATTATGTTTTTGGATAGCCTTAACAATTATTTTTGTGGGGAAATGATTGGTACATATTTGGTTTGATATACTTTTTGACACTTGTCTGATTTAGCTATTAAAAATATAATATAAGTATAATTGATTCAATTAATTCTTATATTTTGTGTGCATAATTGTATTTTTAAGTTTGTGTGCCTTTAATTTCATATTAGAAAATAATGATTTTTTAATGAGTGTTATACAGTATGCTGAAGCAAAATGTGTACTAATCAATATCCTTTGTGTGGGCATAACCTTAGCTCTATGTACGCTTTTTTTTTTTTTTTTCTTTTTTGGTCAAGTTATGAGCCACCAATTTAGAATGGTAATAAGTAATTACCATTCCC